AGATTTTTAAAATATACAACTAAATTTTCATTAATTCCCAATTATCTCCCCTTGAATAAGGATGTGGCCCTTTATTTGAACAAATGTGAATCCCCTTTACCCAAGGATACTTTGTGGCAAGTTTGGTTGAAATTGGCCCAGTGGTTCTTGAGAAAAAATCGAAAATGTGAAAAGTTTACAGACAGACAGACAGACAGACAGACGGACAGACAGACGGACAGACGGACGCCGGACAAAATGTGATCAGAAAAGCTCACTTGAGCCTTCGGCTCAGGTGAGCTAAAAAAGGAATGTGGTCAATAATCTTCCATATAGTCAACTTCTTAATATTCTATATGAAAGGACTTTGTTTGCTGAAAAATTTAGTCATTCAGTCAAATGATGGTTGATGTCTTTTAAACAAATTGTTAAGGCATAACATTTGCATAAATATTGAATGCAGTATTTTCCATTTATCAGGATAAGATAAGGGGCTTCATGATCAGTGAAAAGTGGATGCTTATTTCTAAAGACTAACGCAGCCCGACTCTTAAGCCAGACCCCAACAGCCAGATAAAAGACTCATTTGTAATTATAATAATGGGTCAAGGTCATGACACACCTTTGGGTCATGGGCAATCTTTGTGTGAAATGAGAACTTACCAAGTTTATTCATAAGAAAGATGGACCGGACATGAATTATGAATTCTTTCTTCCAGTGACCTTGAATTTCCCCAAATGACCTTGGTTCAAGGTCATTACACACCCTTGGGTCATGGGCAATCTTTGTGTGAAATAAAAACCTACCAAGCTTATCCATAAGAAAGTTATGGACCGGACATGAATTATGAAGTTTTTCCACCAGTGACTTTGAACTTCCCCAAATGACCTTGGGTCAAGACCATGACACACCCTTGAGTCATGGGCAATCTTTGTGTGAAATGAAAACCTACCAAGTTTATCCATAAGAAGGATATGGACCGGACATGAATTATGAAATTTTTCTTCCAGTGACCTTTAACTTGCCCAAATAACCTTGAGTCAAGGTCATGACACACCTTTGGGTCATGGGCAATCTTTCAATGAAATGAAAGCCTACCGAGTTTATCCATAAGAAAGATATGGACCGGACTTGAATTATGAAATTTTTCTTCCAGTGACCTTGAATTACTCCAAATGTTCTTGGGTCAATGTCATTACACACCCTTGGGTCATTGGCAATCTTTGTGTGAAATAAAAACTTACCAAGCTTATCCATAAGAAAGATATGGACCAGACACGAATAATGAAGTTTTTCACCAGTGACTTTGAACTTCCCCAAATGACCTTGGATCAAGATCATGACACACCCTTGAGTCATGGGCAATCTTTGTGTGAAATGAGAACCTACCAAGTTTATCCATAAGAAAGATATGGTCCGGAATGAATTATGAAATTTTTTTCCAGTGACCTTGAACTTCCCCGAATGACCTTGGGTCAAGGTCATGACACACCCTTAGGTCATGAGCAATCTTAGTGTGGAGTAGTAGATTCTAATGTCCCTCTGTAAGAAAGATATGGACCGGACACGATTGCACAGACAGACGGACGGACGGACGGACAGACGTACAGCTAGACAGACAGACAGACAGAAAGTTGGACAGACGGACAAGGTGATTCCTATATACCCCCCCCCCCAAACTTCGTTTGCAGGGGGTATAATAAAATTTTGAAGATTCTGGACCATCCATCAAATTCCAATAAGAATCATTAAATTAAAATATTTCCCTAAATTCACTAGTGCATTACATAATAAAAATAAGTTTGCTCATTCATTCATCAAATGGCTGACAAACTTAAAAGAATTAAGCATAAAGACATAAGCAGTTATAAAGTCACGTGACAACAAGACATATGATAAACATCAATCTATACATGCACAAGCATACTACCAAATGTAAGGTACATTACAATGTTTTTTTAATATAATTATAAAAAGTCAATTGCAGGGACCTGGACATACAATTTTAGTTATATTGTCTAAAAAGTTCACTATCACACGATTCGTACTTAGAGCAGTTAAAAAAAAAATAATGGTATAAAGAAAAATGCCAATTATTATAGAATTTTGAAATGTACACAATAAACCTGTGTCCCAGCCCCTTTAAGACTGCTCTACATATCTGCAATTTGTAACAATGCACAGAATGCAACATTACAATAGGCGTCGTGTTTATTCTGTTTATTCTGTTTGTTCAAGGTTTCTAGTATTTATTTCCACTGCTCTTTGAGATAATCAATAACATCACTTCGCTCTACGAAATTCAAAGCTCTGCATAAGTCACGGCGGCTCAGATTTGGACACTCTTCTCTCACTTTAAGAAGAGACTTATATATCCTTTCTCTAATCGTACGTACATCGGCTTCAAGTTGTTCTATACGTACGTGAGGCAGACGTAAAAATCGCACCAAATGAGTATACTCTTTAGAAAGCTTCTCGGACAACATCCGACATTCTTTGTTTGAAACATAGCGATTAGGTTCCATTAAGTCACTACATACAAAGTCTGACACCCGAAAAGTGCCAACATAATCCGCGGCTTCTTCTTGTTCAGCCTCCCGTAAAATTCTCTCCAACTCTTTCTTGTGATCCACGGTTGAGTTGGCGCATTTCCATTTGTAGAGGATTCTGAATCTATCCTCTTCCACACACATTGTAGGAGGTTGTTCCGTGACACCAAAATACGTCGCAAGTATTGGAGAGGTGATGTTCACTAGTTTTCTTGATACCGCATTTAAAATCATTTCAATTGCTAGAAAACAAAAGGTACTACTTAAAACCATTTAAATTGTATTTTGTTCCTCTTTGTTCTGATATTTATTTTTTTTTTTATAAAATATTTCTTAAAACTCAAAACATTAGATATTAAATAGAAAATAATACATACCCTTTTCCATATCGCATCCTGTATCAGCCCAAGACACCAATATCAGCCAGAGGGCCGAAGGCACGAGTGCTGATATTGGTCGAGGGCTGATACAGGATGTGATGTGAAAAAGGGTATGTTTTATCATATCTATTACATACTAAGTAATAAAATACAGCATGCATTAAGTTGAGAAGAAAATAAGTAAATAACCATGCATGGACTTCTTACATGCATGTACATGATCTATTGTCTCATACGATTTGGGTTTGTTTCTACTTCAATTTCAATGCACTCGATCCGTAATTTAAAAATAATCTATTATATGTATTTGTAAATAAAGATTAACCTTATTTACAAATATTTACATTTGCAAATGTTTTCCTTTACATAACACTACTGAAGGCAAGCGTTTTTATAACTGTGTAAATACAGGTTTGGGGTCAAGAGGCCATAGATGTGCGTTTGGATAAACGTTCCACGTAATTTCTCTGTGACGTCATAAAGGGTCGACGCACATTTAGTGGATTACGTACATGCCGTTGCGTTTGAAAAATTAACGCATTTCACACGTTAAAAGTAACAATCAGGCAAATATAAAGTATGAATAAGTCACAAATGTAAATATAAGTAATAAGGTATCATTTTTTTAGTTTTATTGAGATGTAAAACGGGTTGACACATGATGAAATCTGCCATAAAGCCCTTCGGGGATTTGATCACGTGACCAACCTGTTTTACATCTCAATACAACTCAAAAAATGATACCTTATTTCTTAAAAAAGTTCAAATTAAGAGAATATGAACCCACCAAAAATTGTGTATGATCACAAGTACTGTTTTTGTGGTTTAATTTACTAATGGTGTGATATTGACGTCAAAATAGCCGTATCAGCCCTGCAGGGCTGATAGGGCTATTGTGACATCGGCCACATCGCATATGCAAAAAACCTGTATTTATTACTGAGTGTGTAATGAATATAAATAAAAGTTGACAATAGGATTACATACACGAGTTGGAAATGTCCCCCTCATCTTCATTCTCCAACTGCTGCACCTGTGTGATAAAAAGGTATTCTTACAAATTATTGAAATAATGTATAATTATAAACAAATTATATTCTTAAACAAGAGGCCCACGGGCCTCATAGGTCACCTGAGCATTATGCAACAACTTTCCAGTTACAGTGTATTGAATTTGATTCAATAACATGTTTTAAGCCAGATGCTGTATGGCATTCACAATTTTGAAAGAGCACCATTGATCATCATAACAATAAACTTAGCAGTCGCTTAGCTTGGTTACTGAATACCCATACGCAGGGTAGGCGTACAAAAATGCACTCCAACTAATCAGTAATATTCATCAATAATCAATAGTGCCCCTAACACTCTGACATAAATCCCTGACCCTAGGTTGCAAGGCACCCTTAAAATTGCCTATCAAAAAGTAAATAAATGTTTTATAAATACGAAGGACCAGATTTCAAACAATTATTTAATTTCCAGTATATAAGTAGAGCCCCCCCCCCGACCCTGGGGCCTTGAATTCACAATTCTGCAAGATTAGGGTCCTTGCTCATCATAACTATATAGGTAGTTCATCTGCTTCATACCCAGAGACAGAGAAGAAAATTTTTTAAGATTTAATGTATTTTCACTATATAATCAATAGAGCCCCACCCTAATACCAGAACCCCTGACCCTGGGGCCATAAAATTCAAAATTTTTGTAGAGGCACTCTTGCTCATCATAACTATGTACTTAGTTAGTTTATTTAATACCTAGGAGCAGAGCAGAAGATTTTCAGAGAATTCATGTAATTTCACTATATAATCAATAGAGCCCCCCCCCCCCCCCGCACACACACACGAGAACCCTTGATGACAGGGTCATTAAATTCACAATTTTGGTTGAGGCACACTTGCTCATCATAACTATGCATTAGTTAGTTTATATAATACCTAGGAGCAGAGAAGAAGATTTTCAAGGAATTCACATATTTTCACTATATAATCAATAGAGCCCCCCCCCCACACACACACCAGAAGCCTTGACCCTGGGGCCATAAAATTCACAATCTTAGTTGAGGAACACTTGCTTTTCAATCATCACTATGTACTTAGTTAGTTTATTTGATACCTAGGAGCAGAGAAGAAGATTTTCAAAAAATTCATTTATTTTCACTATATAATCAATAGAGCCCCCCCCCCCAACACCAGAACCCTACAACCTGGGCCCATAAAATTCACAATTTTGGTAGAGGCACTCTTGCTCATCATTACTATTTACTTACTTGGTTTTTTTAATACCCAGGGGCAGAGAGGAAGATTTTCAAAAAAATCATGTATTTTTACTATATTATCTATAGAGCCCCATCCTTACACCAGAACCTCTGACCCTGGGGCTATGAAATTCAAAATTTTTGTAAAGGCACTCTTGCTCATCATAACTATGCACTTAGTTAGTTTAATTAATACCTAGGAGAAGAGAAGAAGATTTTCAAAGAATTCATGTAATGACACTATATAATCAATAGAGCCCCCCCCCCCCCCCCAACACCAGAACCCTTGACCCTGGGGCCATAAAATTCACAATTTTGGTAGAGGCACTCTTTCTCATCATAACTATTTACTTACTTGGTTTTTTTAATACCCAGGGGCAGAGAAGAAAATTTTCAAAGAAATCATGTATTTTTACTATATAATCAATAGAGCCCCACCCTAACACCAGAACCACTGACCCTGGGGCCATAAAATTCACAAATTTGGTAGAGGCACTCTTTCTCATCATAACTATTTACTTACTTGGTTTATTTAATACCCAGGGGCAGAGAAGAAGATTTTCAAAGAAATCATGTATTTTTACTATAAAATCAATAGAGCCCCACCCTAACACCAGAACCCCTGACCCTGGGGCCATAAAATTCACAAATTTGGTAGAGGCACTCTTTTTCATCATAACTATGTACTTAGTTGGTTTATTTAATATCCAGGAGCAGAGAAGAAAATTTTCAAAGAAATAATGCATTTTCACTATAGACTTATTTAGCCCCGCCCTAGCACTAGAACCCCTGACCCCAGGGCCACGAATTTCACAATTTTGGTAGAGGACTCAATGCTTATTACAATCATGCAAACAGTTTGACTGCTTGATGTCCAGGAGTAAAGAAGAAGATTTTTAAAGATTGCATTAATTTTAGTGGTTTTGGCCCCACCCCTCAGGCCCCAGGGGGGCAGGGATCATGAAATTCACAATTTTTGTTCCCCTTCACCCATAGATGCTTTGTGCCAAATTTGGTTGAAATTGATTCAGTGGTTACAGAGAAGAAGCTGAAAATGTTCAAATGTTAACGCACGACGGACGACGCACGACGCACGACGACGGACGAAAACGGATAGCAATAGGTCACCTGAGTTTACTCAGGTGACCTAAAAAACTATTGTTATCTTAAAAAATGCTTTTTCAACAGGTCTCATTCAGCTTTACAAATATCTTATGATAAAAACTACTTTTTATTAAAAAAGCAAGTAATATTTCAATTTTAAAACGTCTTTGGTTATATATAGATATATTATATTTCTAATTTTGGGGGCTCTGTTCAAATATGACGGAAAATGATTTGTAAAAAAACATTTGATTAGAAAGAGCAACATATATGGTTTATTATACCTGTATCCAGTATTTGGTGATATCTTTTATGCAAACAATATGTTTTTTCCCCTCTGGACATGAAGGACACTGAAAAGTCGGCCCTCTGAGGTCCGATTCGTATATCACCGCACTTCTGTTGTTATCACAGAACCCTTCAGGTTTGCATTTGAAGGCAGTGTGAAATTTCAAGTTTCTTTGGAAAGTACTGGAAAGAGTATACAATTCACTCTCGATTTTTTCTCTTATCTGGAAACATGTCGATATATCCACGTCTCCCTCGCTTACAAACACCTGCAACTGGATCTCCGTTGGGGTCATTCCAAGCAAAATGTTATGATCGTCCTCGAACAGGAAAACAGCTGCAGTCTGGTAAATAAGTGGACGTTCTTTCCCATCTTTAATTTCTTTGACAAGAGCCCAAGGGAATTCCATGCATCTCGCTACAAGGCGCTGGAAAATACCCACCGGAAGAGCATCAAACAGAAAACAGAGAATGGAGGAGGCAGGGTATGCTGAAAATCTGTGAACAGGAAACGGTCTTTTGTTCATACATGGAACATACCATCTTTTGTCATCCATTTTAGCCAGAAGACCAAGCTTCTCCATGTAGCGCATGATTTCATCCTTGTGCTCAAGGAACCCATTGTTGTTCATTTCCCATATCGCAGACAGCAGTGTGTCACTCAGTTCTCCACTTTCATTAAATTTGTCCCATTGTGAGGCAAGCTCAAATAAATCCTCTGCTGCATGGTTTTTATCGGTAATGACATTTTTGAATGCATCTGCAAACCATTGAACATCAAGTATTATGATTCCTCTCAGAGATTCTTGGTTAAAGTGTAAAATTTCTCTTATGTCATGGAAAAACTGCAGCATAGTGTTAATATCTTCGATCGTTTCCAACTTCAGTTCCTGTGGCAATGCGTCATTGAAATCCAAAAGTGTCTCTTTATTTATTACTTTAAGGTTCTTCTTTTCCTGGAAGAAGTTTTCAAACATTGCCCAGGAGTGCGGAAGTTTTTCACCCCAGTGATCAAGATTTCGGACAACATCAACAACTGACAGCTTGATTTTTTCAATGCTTTCATTTTCATGGAATCCAACAGCAAACATCCTTTTCCTGTCAATATGCCTTTGCAGAGAAGCATCATTTGTTTCCAAGATCGTCCATATATCACGAAAAAACTTTTCTTTTTCCTGGTTAAAAGAGTTAATCAGTTAAAAAGTATGAAGATAGCAAACAATGGACTTATCTGTTCTTGAAAAGCTTTTTTTTTTATTTTACTTCGCAAAAATTTGATCCTCATTTGTGACTTCTACCTACACTTAGGGTTCATTTGAAAGATTAAAAGAAATTCGAATCTTCATTACCATGATTACCTTACATTAGGATACTAACATGTAAGCATGTTTAAACATAGACTTATGTTATTGAAATTTTCTTCTCCAACTTGGAAGAACATTTGGATTAATGTAACTATTGTTCATTAAAATTTGGATCACAAACTGTGGGCCTGGGGGTACATGATTTGATCGGGGTACATGATTTAATCAAAAACTAGAAAACTGACCAGTCAGCAAGGGCCCCGCCATGGGTTAGAATTAATAGGGTGTAGCTTACGGAATGATAAAAAATGTATGAAGAATAAGCAACAGCAACTGTATTCTTAAAATTTCAAGATAATTCCTGAATTTTCAAAAACCTGAAAATAATATCCTTGTATTTACATAAGGCAGTAAAAAACAACTTAACATTGAATGTACATTTAAACAATTATCATGATTATGAAGCATGTGTTATATAAAATGCCAGCTTTCAATGAATGCAAATATCATGAAGGCTATAATGACCTTAACTTCAAACAAACAGCAGTTGCAGACAAGTGGTTTCATTAATCTTAAAGTGACAGATAAAGATAAGCCTACTGAATTTTCTGCAGCAGGCTAGAAAATTACTGTAAAATCACTAATTTTCGTGGGGTCAAATTTTCGTGGTTTGAGGAAAAAATGATGGTTCGTGGGGATTTGATTTCGTGGATGAAAAACGTTTAAGTAGTTGTGTAAATGAAAATTTACATTTCGTGGTGGACATAAATTCGTGGGTATCTTCATACCACGAAAACAACGAAAATTAAACCCCCATGAAAATTAGTGATTTCACAGTAATCCCAAGGAATTAATTGTACCTCTCTCATCATTTTTTTTAAAGTTACAATAAGAACTTTTTCAGTATTAATGATAAAATGGTGTTTTTATACAACTATCCTAAAAAATTAATAATATTCTTGAATTAACATAAATTGAAAAAAGTAAATCAAAAAATCTTCTTTAATCTATTTCTTGTTATTAGAATTCAAAGAAATCATAACTTTTAAACAAAAATAAATTATAAATATTTATATTCAAATCCATATTTCATAGTGTTCATAGCATTTCAAATTGACTTAACTTCAAAACAAACTTCATTTGCAGACAGAGGTGGTAATTCATCTCAATTTGACAAATAAAGATAATGCTCTGGATTTTCTTCAGGAGGAAAGCTAATTAATCCCAAGGGACTCATAGAAGAATTCAGTTTACAATAGCAACATCTTCAGCAGTTATCTCTCTTTGCCACTGCTTTTGTATATAAAGTTAAGGAATCTACCCCACCACCCCAGCTCCAAACCAGAAGACATAGAGAAGCAAACTTAGCATCGAAATATGCATTTCTGCCTACTGAACTACCATACCAAATTTGAACTTGATTGGGCAACTATAAAAAAAGTTATTAGAAAAAAACTGAAAATTTGTGGACGGAAGAGTGACAGACGGACAGACAGACAGACAGACGGACAGACAGAGTGATTACTATAGGGCACCTGCAAATCCTTGCGGGGCCCAAATAAATTTTAAAACGAATATTCACATAAAGCAATTTTTGACTCTGTAAATTTCTGTATAAGTGAAAAAGCTTTGCTTCACTTGAGAATGCATAAAATATCATTTAGACTCTTGATGATTAACAATCTATAAAAATTGATGAAATATTTTTTTCATGCATTATGACATCATGAATTGTGTCATTCTCTTCATATTCTAAAGCAAGCAACAAAACGACCAAATTTTAAAGTTCTCTCCGATATTTTCTATAGAGTGAAATATCAGATCTAAAATATATAATAATGGTAATGATAAAAGGATGGAACTGCTTTTTTTAAGGATTACAACTCGTGTATTTTAATTTTGGATTAAAGAGTCTGCTCATATTTTTTCTTCTCTGAAATAATTCAAATATACCCGTTTTTCTTAGAATTTAAGAACATTGAATTTTAAAATTTTAAAAGGCCTTGATTTGAACTAATTCCTTTTACCTGTATTATAGTATAACTTTACAGTATAATCTGTGCTTAGTTTGGTTGAAATAAGCCCAGCGATAATTGAGAAAAGTTTTAAAATATCAAGTACAAACGGCAATAAGGACAGACAGTGGAAAATTTAATCAAAAGTTCCTTTGATTCTTCGACTAAAAAAGCTCTTGCAGTACTATTAGATACCTCTTTCGTCTTTTTTTCAGCATGAGTGCCCACCAGTAACACGGGAGCCTTTTCACTGCTGTATTGATGAATGGACGTGGCCCAGAACGTGAGATAGTCTGAATAAAATAAAAAGCAATATTTACTCAGTAACTTTATAAATAAGTGTACATGGTACACCACCCAGTAACAGTAAGCCTACATTTAACTTCATGTAATAGTCTAAATCATGTTTATGGGTGTATTCATCTTCAAAAGAAACCAAGATGTGTTTTTGAAACACTATGCGTTCGGCGGCAACAAAGTTCAGAAAAAGCTGTTTTTAGCATTAAGTTCACAGTTTAGGTCACAAGGTCATTGACCTTGGTATCATTTGAAAGAACCTGAATATTGGAGCATGCATGCTAAATATGAAGTCGCTATCTTTCATGGTTCAAAAATTATAGCAAAGGTCAAAGTTTGCAGAAAAAAACTATTTTTTGCATATACTAGTAGGCCACAGTTAAGGTCACAAGGTCATTGATATTGGTGTCATTTGAAAGAGATTAATGAGTGGAGTATGCATACCAAATATGAAGTCTATATCTTTCATGGTTCAAAAGTTACAGTGAAGGTTAAAGTTCCAAACAAACAAACAAACAGACAAAACAATATACGCCATTGATCTATTGATCTATTGATCCGATCTATAAGATAAAAAATATCTTTAACAAGAACTCAATCATACATGTAATACTTTCAATACATTTGCAAATTAATGAAGCCCAAATCCTGTTCAGTTGAAATTAATCAAATATTATGAAACCTCAGTTTACAATGAGCAATGAACATGAGCCTAATTTTGAATGTATGACCTTTGTATAGTATTAACTAAATCCATAGACCATAACAATCATCTCAATCATTTTGAACTGTTGTTATATCTTAATAGCAGTTTTCAAGGTCATTGTATCGACCATAGAGCCTACGAAATTATGCCTTTAAAGAGATTGCTCATCAATTATAACAAGAGGCCCATGGGCCACATTGCTCACCTGAGAAGCTTTGACCATTCTGTTCTTTACCAGATTTCACCCTTGTTATACATAAAGCATCCCCACCCTACCCCACTGATCATAATTTAGACATTTTGAAATCAACGCTACCCCATGATCCTTCCATGGGCACATATGTTTCAGCTTTTCTGGCCCAGTGGTTCTTGAGAAGAACATTTTCAAAGATTTTTCCTATATAGTTCTATGTAAAACTTTGATACCCCATAGTGGCCCCACCCTTCCCCTGGGGATCATTATTTGACAATTTAGAATCTACATTATACCAGGATGCTTCCACATAAGTTTCAGCTTTTCTGGCCGAGTGGTTCTTGAGAAGAAGATTTTCAAAGATTTTTCCTATATATTTCTATGTAAAACTTTGATTCCCTATAATGGCCCCACCTCTTCCCCCAGGGGTCATGATTCCTACAATTTAGAATTAACACTACCTCAGAATGCTTCCACATAAGCTTCACTTTTTCTGGCCCAGTGGTTCTTGAGAAGAAAATTTTCAAAGAATTTTCCTATATATTTCTATATAAAACTTTGATTTTCTATTGTGCCCCTGACCTTTCCCTGGGTGTCACTATTTGAACAATGTAAAATTACATTATACCAGGATGCTTCCACATATGTTTCAGCTTTTCTGGCCCAGTGGTTCTTGAGAAGAAGATTTTCAAAGATTTTTACTATAAATTTCTATGTAAAACTTTGATACCCCATTGTGGCCCCGCCCTTCCCCTGGGGGTCATGATTTGAACAATTTAGAATCTTCACTATACCAGGATGCTTCCATATAAGTTTCAGCTTTTCTGGCCAAGTGGTTCTTGAGAAGAAGATTTTCAGAGATTTTTCCTGTATATTTCTATGTAAAACTTTGATTCCCCATTGTGGCCCAACCCATCCCCCCGGGGGTCCTGATTTGAACAATTTAGATTCTACATTATATCAGGATGCTTCTACATAAGTTTCAGCTTTTCTGCCCCATTGGTTCTTAAGAAGAAGATTTTCAAAGATTTTTCCTATATATTTCTATGTAAAACTTTGATTCCCCATTGCGGCCCAGCCTTCCTCCCAGGGGTCATGATTTGAACAATTTAGAATCTACATTATTTCAGGATGCTTCCATATAAGTTTCAGCTTTTCTGGCCCAGCGGTTTTTGAGAAGAAGATTTTCAAAGATTTCTCCTATATATTTCTATGTAAAACTTTGATTCCCTATTATGGCCCCGCCCTTCCCCCAGGGGTCATGATTCCTACAATTTAGAATTTAAACTACCCCAGAATGCTTCCACATAAGCTTCACTTTTTCTGGCCAAGTGGTTCTTGAGAAGAAAATTTTTAAAGAATTTTCCTATATATTTCTATATAAAACTTTGATTTCCCATTGTGGCCCCGCCCTTTCCCTGGGTGTAATTATTTGAACAATTAAGAATCTACATTATACCAGGATGCTTCCACATGTTTCAGCTTTTCTGACCCAGTGGTTCTTGAGAAGAAGATTTTCAAAGATTTTTCCTATAAATTTCTATGTAAAACTTTGATTCCCCATTGTGTCCCCACCCTTCCCCTGGGGGTCATGATTTGAACAATTTAGAATCTTCTCTACACCAGGATGCTCCCATATAAGTTTCAGCTTTTCTGGCCAAGTGGTTCTTGAGAAGAAGATTTTCAAAGATTTTTACTATATACTTCTATATAAAACTTTGATTCCCCAATATGGCCCGACCCATCCCTCGAGGGGTCATTATTTGAATAATTTAGATTCTACATTATATCAGGATGCTTCCACATAAGTTTCAGTTTTTCTGGCCCAGTGGTTCTTGAGAAGAAGATTTTCAAAGATTTAATTTTCTTTTATATATATTTCTATGTAAAACTTTCCCATTGTGGCCCAGCCTTTCTCCCGGAGGTCATAATTTGATTTAGAATCTACATTATATCAGGATGCTTCCATTTAAGTTTCAGCTTTTCTGGCCAAGAGGTTCTTGAGAACAAGATTTTATTAAACTTTGAAGCCCCTTTGTGGCCTCACCTATCCCCCGGGGGTCTTTATTTGAACAATTTAGAATCTACATTATATCAGGATGCTTCCACTTAAGTTTCCAGCTTTTCTGGCCCAGTGGTTTTTGAGAAGATTTTCAAAGATTTTTTCTACAGTACCGACCAGACCTAACCTGACACAAAGCAGTCCCAGAGTTGTTCCTGCAGTCCCAGCGGTCCCAGAAAGCAGTCCCACAGCAGTCCCAGAGCTCCCAGAAAGCAGTCCCAGCAGTCTCAGAGCGGTCCCAGCAGTCCCAGTGGGCAGGGTTTATTAATTTAATGGGCGGGGCTAACTCAGAAATGAGATTTCCAATAAACAATGGAACTATAAAAGGCAGCTGAATTTTTTTTTGAGCAGTATGCCAGGAATCCTTACAATGCGAAGGTCATTTACATCCATGAGCAGTACCCGCATAGATTTGAAACCGTTTGAAATAATATTCATTGAAGGAATAAAGCTTACACACCTATATAAATGAATTACACTGAACATGTATAATTAATCACAATTATCTATGGTTTTTGTGATTGATACTGGCTCCCATATTTATTTTCTATACAGAAAATTAAAATTGCTCTAATTATATTTCAGCAGAATAAGTTTTAAAAAGGTCTATTTATTATACATCATGGCCGATTTCCATACTATCGGGATACTCTAAAGGCATTTTTTAAAAATTGAAAAATTTGTTGCTTATTTGCCAATATTTTTCAGTATTGGTTATTCTTTACCGACATGTTAATTTAAAAATTATTGTTTATTTGTAAATTGTAATAGTGACTAATATAGAATCCTAAGATTATGTTCAACATTAATTAATCTTAAAAGAAATTATATACATTTCATTTATCTTTTTTATTCATTACATTTTTGACATAGATTGAAATTAGGGTCAATGTTTATTGAGCAGCATGTTCAATGATGTGTAACACTGATACGTGTACCCAAATAACTAGCATGATTGATTTTCTGCCCAAAGGCGATTGAAAGCACAGGTGTTCATACCATTTTATTCATACACATTATCGGCTAGGTAAACAAAAGCAAAACAAAAAAGAAATAAATCACAATTACAGGTATAACAGGTTTTCAACTGTTTATTAATTTCTTTTGTTTTACTCTTTTAATAACTTATTCATAAATTAAAAACTAATTCATCTGTAAATTCCCGTATAATTGTTCACATTGCTTATGTTACAGTAGAATTGTGGCATAATTTTATTTCATGTCATAAAATAAATTGTTAGATTTTTTTTAGGGTTGTTTGTAATACTCTTTTAGCGTGGTGCTTGTAAAAAGTGTAGCCTTTTCAAATAAAATATCTTATATCTAAATGTAATGATTTTTTACATAGTGCCAAATGAAATTATTGAGTATTTAATTTTAGATGTAATAAGAAAAGAAATCTACATGTAGATATTTTTTCTCATGAGCCTGTTGTTTTAAATACTCTAGAAATAAAAATCTCCTCCTAACTTTCTTATTTAACAACTTTATTTTTAAAAATATTCTATATTACATTTGTGTAAATATACAGTCCCTAAAACTATGAATTAAACATAATACATGTAATCTCCCGTTATTAAAAGATTATAAGAAATCCTTGCTTATTAAACAGATAAAACTCCTCTCTGCTGCAAGGAAACAAAACAATAGGGAGCCTGCAAATTTAGAATACACAAGGGGGCGGAGCTATCATGTCACTCAGAACCTTTGTCACACATGAGTGAACAAAGCAGTCCCAGGGGCAGCTGGGACTGCTGGGACTGTTTTTCATAGGAGTCCCAGAGCAGTCCCATAGCGGTCCCAGAGCAGTCCCACAGCAGTCCCAGAGCAGTCCCACAGCGGTCCCAGAGCAGTCCAAGGGACTGCTTTCTGGGACTGCTTTGGTGTAAGGTTGGATGTGGTCGGTACTGTATATATTTCTATGTAAAACTTTGATTCCCTATTGTGGCCCCGCCCTTCCCTCGGGGGTCATGATTTGAACAATTTAGAATCTACATTATACCAGAATGCTTCCATATAAGTTTCATCTTTTCTGGCCCTGTGGTTCTTGAGAAGAAGATTTTCAAAGATTTTTCCTATATATTTCTATATAAAACTTTGATTCCCCATTGTGGCCCCGCCCTTCCCCCGGGGTCATGATTTGAACAATTTACAATCTACATTATATCAGGATGCTTCCACATAAGATTCAGCTTTACTGGCCCAGTGGTTCTTGAGAATAAGATTTTTAAATGACCCCACCCTATTTTTGTATTTTCTTGATTATCTCCCCTTTCGAGGGGATATGTCCCTTCATTTTAACAATTGATATTTTCCTTTACCAAAGGATGGATGTACCAAGTTTGGTCAAAATTGGCCCAGTGGTTCTTGAGAAGAAGTCGAAAATGTGAAAAGTTTACAGACGGACAGACAGACGGACGGATAGACCGACAGACAGACAGACGACGGACAAAATGTGATCAGAAAAGCTCACTTAAGCCATCGGCTCAGGTGAGCTAAAAATTAAGCAGAAAGAACTTCCTTACTTATCATGCATTTGCTTTGACAGAAACTGGACAATTACACGTAATAAACACTAATCATGTAATAAAATATACCTTTGTGTGTCCACCCTTCGTAAATTGAACCTTCTTGGCTAGAGACTTCTTTTCCAACCTTATCCTCAAACTTCTTCTCCATATGCGGCACTAAAATGAAGAATGCACAGGGAATCAGAAAAATCTGGTGTGAGGCATAATATGAACACTGTCCCGCAAAGTCTACCATGGTAATTTTTTTTCTCTGGAGCACCAGATACAACTTCATTTTCAAAAATATTCTATATTACATTTGTGTAAATATACAGTCCCTAAAACTATGAATCAAATACAAGAGATGTTTGTAAAACACTTATGCCCCCCTCCCCCCAAATTGGAATTTTTCCAAGTCCAAAAGGGCAAAACTCTGTGAAAAATGTACCCAACACAGAACTTGACCTTGCATGATATTAATCTGGTATATATGCAAACCAATTTTTATCTCAGTATGTGCAACGGTTGCAAAGAAAATGAACGGAAACTGCAAAAAATTGGAATTTTTCTAAGTCCAAGGGGCACAACTCTATTAAAAATAGTGGGATCATACCCAACACAAAACTTGACCTAGATATTAATCTGATTAATCTGTATATTAAATTTTATATCAGTATGTGCAACGGTTGCAAAGAAAATGAACGGAAACTGCAAATAATTGGAATTTTTCTAAGTCCAAGGGGCATAACTCTGTCAAAAATGGTGCGATTGTACCCAAAACAGAACTTGACCTAGATATTAATGAGATAAATCTGTATACCAAATTTCATCTCAGTATGTGCAACGGTTGTGAAGAAAATGACGGAAACTGCCAATAATTGGAATTTTTCTAAGTCCAAGGGGCATAACTCTGTCAAAAATGGTGCAATTGTACCCAAAACAGAACTTGACCTAGATATTAATGTGATAAATCTGTATGCCAAATTTCATTTCAGTATGTACAACGGTTGTGAAGAAAATGAACGGAAACCAAGTGGACCGACAGACCGACAGACTGACAGACCGACAGACCGACCGACCGACCGACAGACAGCAGCAAAGCAATATGCCCTCCCTTCTTCGAAGGGGGGCATAATAATACATGTAATCTCCCATTATTAAAAGATTATAAGAAATCCTTGCTTATTAAACAGTTAAAACTCCTCTCTGCTGCAAGGAAACAAAACAATAGAGAGCCTGCAAATTCAGAATACACAAGGGGGAGGAGCTATCATGTCACTCAGAACGTTTGTCACACATGAGTGAATAAAGCAGTCCCAGAAAGCAGTCCAAGGGGCAGCTGGGACTGCTGAGACTGTTTTTCATAGCAGTCCCAGAGCAGTCCCACAGCAGTCCCAGAGCAGTCCCACAGCAGTCCCAGAGCCGTCCCAGGGACAGCTTTCTGGGACTGCTTTGGTGTTAGGTTGGATGTGGTCGGTACTGTATATATTTCTATGTAAAACTTTGATTCCCCATTGTGGCCCCGCCCTTCCCTCGGGGGTCATGATTTGAACAATTTAGAATCTACATTATACCAGGATGCTTCCATATAAGTTTCATCTTTTCTGGCCCATTGGTTCTTGAGAAGAAGATTTTCAAAGATTTTACCTATATATTTCTATATAAAACTTTGATTCCCCATTGTGGCCCCGCCCTTCCCCCGGGGATCATGATTTGAACAATTTACAATCTACATTATATCAGGATGCTTCCACATAAGATTCAGCTTTACTGGCCCAGTGGTTCTTGAGAATAAGATTTTTAAATGACCCCACCCTATTTTTGTATTTTCTTGATTATCTCCCCTTTCGAGGGGATATGTCCCTTCATTTTAACAATTGATATTTTCCTTTACCAAAGGATGGATGTACCAAGTTTGGTCAAAATTGGCCCAGTGGTTCTTGAGAAGAAGTCGAAAATGTGAAAAGTTTACAGACGGACAGACAGACGGACGGACGGACGGACGGACGGACAGACAGGCAGACGACGGACAAAATGTGATCAGAAAAGCTCACTTAAGCCGTCGGCTCAGGTGAGCTAAAAATTAAGCAGTAAGAACTTCCTTACTTATCATGCATTTGCTTTGACAGAAACTGGACAATTACACGTAATAAACACTAATCATGTAATAAAATATACCTTTGTGTGTCCACCCTTCGTAAATTGAACCTTCTTGGCTAGAGACTTCTTTTCCAACCTTATCCTCAAACTTCTTCTCCATATTCGGCACTAAAATGAAGAATGCACAGGGAATCAGAAAAATCTGGTGTGAGGCATAATATGAACACTGTCCCGCAAAGTCTACCATGGTAATTTTTTTCTCTGGAGCACCAGATACAACTTTATTTTCAAAAATATTCTATATTACATTTGTGTAAATATACAGTCCCTAAAACTATGAATTAAATATAATACATGTAATCTCCAATTATTAAAAGATTATAAGAAATCCATGCTTATTAAACAGTTTAAACTCCTCTCTGCTGCAAGGAAACAAAACAATAGAGAGCCTGCAAATTCAGAATACACAAGGGGGCGGAGCTATCATATCACTCAGAACGTTTGTCACACATGAGTGAATAAAGCAGTCCCAGAAAGCAGTCCAAGGGGCAGCTGGGACTGCTGAGACTGTTTTTCATAGCAGTCCAAGAGCAGTCCCACAGCAGTCCCAGAGCAGTCCCACAGCAGTCCCAGAGCAGTCCCACAGCAGTCCTAGAGCCGTCCCAGGGACTGCTTTCTGGGACTGCTTTGGTGTTAGGTTGGATGTGGTCGGTACTGTATATATTTCTATGTAAAACTTTGATTCCCCATTGTGGCCCCGCCCTTCCCTCGGGGGTCATGATTTGAACAATTTAGAATCTACATTATACCAGGATGCTTCCATATAAGTTTCATCTTTTCTGGCCCAGTGGTTCTTGAGAAGAAGATTTTCAAAGATTTTTCCTATATATTTCTATATAAAACTTTGATTCCCCATTGTGGCCCCGCCCTTCCCCCGGGGATCATGATTTGAACAATTTACAATCTACATTATATCAGGATGCTTCCACATAAGATTCAGCTTTACTGGCCCAGTGGTTCTTGAGAATAAGATTTTTAAATGACCCCACCCTATTTTTGTATTTTCTTGATTATCTCCCCTTTCGAGGGGATATGTCCCTTCATTTTAACAATTGATATTTTCCTTTACCCAAGGATGGTTTGTACCAACTTTGGTCAAAATTGGCCCAGTGGTTCTTGAGAAGAAGTCGAAAATGTGAAAAGTTTACAGACGGACAGACAGACGGACAGTTGGACGGACGGACGGACAGACAGACAGACGGACGGACAACGGACAAAATGTGATCAGAAAAGCTCAATTGAGCCATCGGCTCAGGTGAGCTAAAAATTAAGCAGAAAGAACTTCCCTACTTATAATGCATTTGCTTTGACAGAAACTAGACAATTACACATAATAAACACTAAATCATGTAATAAAAACATACCTTTGTGTGTCCACCCTTCGTAATTTGAACCTTCCTGGCTACAGACTTCTTTTCCAACCTTATCATCAAACTTCTTCTCCATATTCAGCACTAGAATGAAGAATGCACGGGGACTCAGAAAAATCTGGTGTGAGGCATAATATGAACACTGTCCCGCAAAGTCTACCATGGTAATTTTTTTCTCTGGAGCACCAGATACATCTTTGGAAACTCGTATGATTCCTGATATTTCTGATTTCTCAGGAACATTTTGTCTGCTGTCTTCAACTACTTCCTCTTCTTTTTCCACAAAGGCAGCAGCTTCATTCCCTTTAAGTGATTCAGATTCTGTATTCAAGCTCTCCTGTGTAATTTCTTCATCGCTGACCGATTGTTTATCGCTTGTTTTTTTGCCTGTATCCTTCTGATATCCTTTCTCTTCAATGTCCAACTTTTTCATGTCACCAGACAATTCTGAAGGTTTATCCTGAACACTCCTTTGTTGGCTTGATTCATCAAGTTTAACTTTAAAGCGTTGTTTTTGGTTTGATGAGTTTACTGCAAAACAAAAATACATCCATTTAATTTTCTTTTTAATCATCCTAATTTGATGTTGACCATCATTAGCTTAGCTGATCCAACTTATTTCATGAAATTTAGAACAAGTCTCTCTCTCTGTACATGAATTTTTAAAAAATGCTCAAGTTTATAATGGAATTATAATAAGTTTATTTCAGTTACCCTGGTTTAATTTTCAAGGTCATGATTCAGCTAAATTTGAATCTTTGCTAAAATTGGACATCCACAGTTTTTAGGTCACCAGTTGAAATAAAAATTTGGAAAAATGGTTTATCTTTCTTTTCTTTTTTCATCTTTTTCTTGCATTTGACCTTTTGGTTTTTCATCAGAATCACACATAGATGCGTAAGCAATTTTTATGCCAACTCTTAGCTATGTCTTGAACTCTTCTACTGTGCTTTTTTAATCGACCACATCCATAGATTAAGGGCATACCGTATATCTCGATATTTTATGTTGATTTTATTTTGCGAGTTTGGGTCAAAATGCTGTTGATTAATTATTACGTTTCAAAATTTTGCGAATAACCAATGCTTTGCAATTTGTTAACTTTTTCTTATTGGTAATTATTTTTTTAAAAAAATATTTTTTGCGTATGCAACGAACTCGCAAGTTAGCTTAAAATTTATCTACAGCCAAAATTTCCAGTTTTACAGTAGTTTAATTGTTTTGTCCTGTCTGACTGTCTGTCTTTCTATGTTTGTCTGCTTGTCTGCAAACTTTAATTTTTACCAAAACTTCTGAACCATGGAAGACAGAGACTTCATATTTGATATGTATTCTTCACTTATTGAGTTCTCTTAAATGACACCAAGGTCAAAGACCTTGTGACCTTCACTGAGACCAATATGCTAGAATTACATTTTTGTCTGCAAACTTTAACATGTTCCACAAGTTTTGAACCATGAAAGAATTTAGTATGCATATTCCACTAATAAGCTCTTTCAAATGACATTAAGGTCAATGACATTGTGACATTGACTGTAACCTACAGTCCCTGAAACGTTCTACTTTCCCATTTTTCCGCTCGCTCACCGTTCGTTCAGCGTGCGTTCACCGTTCCTTCACCGTGCATTCACCGTTCGCTCTTCGTTCACAGTATTGCGTTCACCGTTCACCGTGCCCTCGCGTTCACAAAACGTTCAACGTTCGCTCTTCGTTCCGTTTACTCTGCGTTCACCTGCGTTCACCGTTCACTTATCGTTCAGTCTTCATTGTCATTCGGAACTCCGAAGTGAAAGGACTTATCTTTTTGATGGTAAGGATTTACATGTTTTTTTAATCAAATAACTTAGATATAACTTAGATATCGTGTTAGAAGAATAATAATTTCATTGCATAAATTAACTATATATTTATATTTCTATTATTATAACTCAGCTGTTACTTATTTCATGAATATTCCCTGGAAAATAATTAATACATTAAGTACCTACATGTATGTAGAACGATGCTAAAATATTTACTTTAAAAAAGGGCAATGAACAAATGTTTCACGCATGGCATCAATTTGATGTAATTTTAAAGAGGTTAAATTATTAATGGGTGTATAATAAAATAATAAGTCTTTTACAGAATAAGAATTAAAAAGAAAACAAGAGGCCCACGGGCCTTATAGGTCACCTGAGCATTATGCAACAACTTTCCAGTTATTAAATTTGATTCATGTTTTAAGCCAGATGCTATATAACATTCACAATTTTGAAAGAGGCACCATTGATCATCATAACAATACACTTAACAGTTGCTTAGCTTGGTTACTGAATAGCCATACACAGGGTAGGGGAACGAAAATGCATTCCAACTAATCAGTAGTGCCCCTAACACTGTGACATAAACCCCTGACCCTAGGTCCACACATTGCACAAATTTTAAAAAGGCACCCTTAATATAAAACAAGAGGCCCATGGGCCACATCGCTCACCTGAGAAGCTTTGACAATTCTGTACATTAATTACTAGATTTACCCCTTGTAATACATATTGTGACCCCACCCTACCCCACTGTTCATAATTTAGACAATTTAGAATCTACACTACCCCAGGATGTTTCCATATAAGTTTCAGCTTTTCTGGCCCAGTTGTTATTAAGAAGAAGATTTTCAAAGCTTTTTCCTATATATTTCTATGTAAAACTTTAATTCCCCATTGTGTCCCTGCCAAATCCCCGGGGTTATGATTTGAACAGTTTAGAATCTACACTACCCCAGGATGCTTCCACATAAGTTTCAGCTTATCTGGCACAGTGGTATTTGAGAAGATGATTTTGAAAGATGTTTCCTATATATTTCTATGTAAAACTTTGATTCCCCATTGTGGCCCCGCCCAACCCTGGGGGGTCATGATTTGTATAATTTAAAATCTTCACTATCCCAGGATGCTTTTACATCAGTTTCAGCTTTTCTGGCACAGTGGTTCTTGAGAAGAAGATTTTCAAAGATTTTTCCTATATATTTCTATGTTAAACTTTGATTCCCCATTGTGGCCCCGCCCAATCCCCCGGGGTCATGATTTGAAGAATTTAGAATCTACACAACCCCAGAATGTTTCCACATAAGTTTCAGCTTTTCAGGCACAGTGGTTCTTGAGAAGAAGATTTTCAAAGATTTTTCCTATATATTTCTATGTAAAACTTTGATTCCCCATTGTGGCCCCGCCCAATCCCCAGGGGTCATGATTTGAACAATTTAGAATCTACACTACCCCAGGATGCTTCCACATAAGTTTTAGCTTTTCTGGCACAGTGGTTCTTGAGAAGAAGATTTTCAAAGATTTTTCCTATATATTTCTATGTAAAACTTTGATTCCCCATTGTGGCCCCACCCAATCCCCGGGGGTCATGATTTGAACAATTTAGAATCTACACTACCCCAGGATGCTTCCACATAAGTTTCAGCTTTTCTGGCACAGTGGTTCTTGAGAAGAAGATTTTCAAAGATTTTTCCTATATATTTCTATGTAAAACTTTGATTCCCCATTGTGGCCCAACCCAATCCCCGGGGGTCATGATTTGAACAATTTAGAATCTACACTACCCCAGGATGCTTCCACATAAGTATCAGCTTTTCTGGCCCAGTGGTTCTTGAGAAGAAGATTTTTTAATGACCCCACATTATTTTTGTCTTTTCTTGATTATCTCCCCTTGCGAGGGGATATGTCCCTTCATTTTAACAATTTAAGTTCCCCTTCACCCAAAGATGTTTTGTACCAAGTTTGGTCAAAATTGGCCAAGTGGTTCTTGAGAAGAAGTCGAAAATGTGAAAAGTTTACGGACGGACAGACAGACGGACGGACAGACGGACAGACAGACGGACGGACGACGGACACAATGTGATCAGAAAAGCTCACTTGAGCCTTCGGCTCAGGTGAGCTAAAAATAAATAAATGTTTTATAAATACAAAAAAGCAGATTTCAAATAATAAATTCATTTTCAGTATATAAGTAGAGCCCCTACCCCACCCCTGAACCTGGGGCCTTGAAATTCACAAGTCTACAAGATTAGGGCCCTTGCTCATCATAACTATAAAGGTAGTTCATCTGCTTTATATCCAGAGACAGAGAATAAAATTTTCAAGATTTAATGTATTTTCACTATTTAATCAATAGAGCCCCATCCCCCTAACACCAGAACCCCTGACCCTGGGGCCATAAAATTCATAATTTTAAAAGAGGCACTCTTGCTCATCATAACTATGTACTTAGTTTATTTAATTCCTAGCAGCAATGAAGAAGATTTTCAAAGAATTCATGTATTTTCAATATATAATCAATAGAGCCCCCCCCCTCCCTAACACCAGAACCCCTGACCCTGGGGCCATAAAATTCACAATTTTGGTTGAGGCACTCTTGCTCATCATAACTATGCACTTAGTTAGTTTATTTAATACCTAGGAGCAGAGGAGAAGTTTTTCAAAGAATTCATGTATTTTTACTATATAATCAATAGAGACCCCCCCCCCCCAACACCAGAACCCTTGACCCTGGGGCCATAAAATTCACAATATTGGTCGCGGCACTCTTGCTCATCATAACTATGCACTTAGTTAGTTTATTTAATACCTAGGAGCAGAGAAAAAGATTTTAAAAGATTCAAGTATTTTTACTATATAATCTGTAGAGCCCTGCCCTAACACCAGAACCCTGGGGCCATAAATTTCACAATTTTGGTTGAGGAACTCTTGCTCATCATAACTATGCACTTAGTTGGTTTACTTAATACCTAGGAGCAGAGAATAAAATTTTCAAAGAATTCAAGTATTTTCACTATATAATCAATAGGGCCCCATCCCCCTAACACCAGAACCCCTGACCCTGGGGCCATAAAATTCATAATTTTAAAAGAGGCATTCTTGCTCATCATAACTATTCACTTAGTTAGTTTATTCAATACCTAGGAGCAGAGAAGAAGATTTTCAAAGAAATCATGTATTTTCATTATATAATCAATAGACCCCCCACCCCCCCAACACCAGAACCCTTGACCCTGGGGCCATAAAATTCACAATTTTGGTAGAGGCACTCTTGCTCATCATAACTATGCACTTAGTTAGTATATTTGATAACCAGGGGCAGAGAATTTTTTCAAAGAATTCATGTATTTTCAATATATAATAAATAGAGCCCAACCCTAACACCAGAACCCCTGACCCTGGGGCCATAAAATTCACAATTTTGGTAGAGGGACCCTTGCTCATCATTACTATGTACTTAGTTTATTTATTTAATACCCAGGAGTAGAGAAGAAGATTTTCAAAGAAATAAAGCATTTTCACTATATACTTATTAAGCCCCGTCCAAGCACTAGAACCCCTGACCCCAGGGCCATGATTTTCACAATTTTGTTAGAGGACTCAATGCTCATTACAATCATGCAAACAGTTTGACTGCTTGATGTCCAGGAGTAAAGAAAAAGATTTTTAAAGATTGCATTAATTTTAGTGGTTTTGGCCCCGCCCCTCATGCCCCAGGGGGGCAGGGATCATGAAATTCACAATGTTTGTTCCC